TATATATATAGTTAACAAAAAAGTGAATTTTTTATGATCGTGATATCGCTATGAAAGAAATGCCAAAACCATGACAACTGACAGCAGAAAACTCACTTTTCTTATCAACAAAAGGCAAATCGTCTTTTTTCTTGAACTCTCCGTTGCTCTTCACTTCCGTTGGGTTGCCAAAGTCATAACTGTCCACGGGCCAGTGAAGTTCAATGCAAAGTCGGTAAATCCATGCACCAAGGATGCCACCAACATGTGGCCCAATCACAGGAACCCAAAAAAAGTTGTATTCTCGGAAGCTAATAGAAATTGTAAATTTATGCAAATAAATAAACGCATAATATAAAATTGTAATGGAATACTAATTAATATAATACATACGCAATGCTCAAAATTTAAAATATAATATTCCAATAGATGCTGTAATAATGAGCATCTGTTAGATACTCATTAGAATATTTGCTGCCATATCATAGAAAGTCCCATAACCGAAAAACAAGTTTTTCGGAAAGCAAACTTCTCGAGTAACGAATGAGGACAAACATTTATAAATAATTTCAACACTACTTAGAGTTTTTTAAGTCATGAAAACGTTTATATTTTAGAGATCGATTCGGAAACGCTGAAAAGAGGATTTAGATAAGCGTTAAAGAAAGGACTGTTTAATTTATAAGGGCAAACAAGGTGACTCAAAATTATCGTTCTAACTTTGATGCGCAAAAACACCAATCAAATAAGATACATAAGGTTTGTGGCTTCCGCAGATCACATCAACACGTAAAGTTTTATTTGTGTTCGAAAAGTTCTCAAAAAACTAGTTAAAAATAAAATTTTTTTGACTCTTTTTTTGTGTGCTATTTGCTTGCAGGACCTGAGCTTGTTTAGTTATTTTGAGAACCGAATTTATGTCTTTCTCTCTCCTAGTTCGATGAAGACATGTGCCACACCACTGGTGACTTAACAAGTAGTATACAGTGCCATACAGTGAAATTGTAATACAGTTTCGATAATTACTGTTCATAGAACGTAAAAACCGTTTAAAAAAACATTATTTGCTGTAAAGACATGTATACAAGCAACGATTTCTTGTGATTCTATTCTTACAGATGCTTTTACTGGTGGAACTGTATTAGGGGGAATTGTCTTAACAGCTGAAGCACATAGTCTTTAACAATCGCATAATATTTTGACAGAACATGTTAAATTTTTCCCTTTGCTCTATTTGAAATTAAAATTAGAATTAAAAAAAAAGACAGAATGCAAAAACAAGACGAAGAAAAAATAAGATTTTAATTAAGCAATCGAGACGCAATTTTCGTTTGTGTTTTCATATTGATTTTTTAAATGAGATCATATTTTTTTGTGTATTTTGTAAACAGATTTTCGTTAAATATTATTTTACTTTTTGAATAACACGATTCTGTAACACACCAAGAAAAAAAGTATGGTCAAAATTACAATAATACGGTAATATTTACTGGGTTTCTGGTTCATTGAAACACTAAAAAATTCTGTAATTTTCACCGAAGTGCTTTGGTTAAGGTTTTGATAAAATTAACTGCAAAATATTGTTTTGTAATCTGGGAAAATGTGGTAAAATTTGATAATTTTATCACTACACATTAGAGCATGGCAATAAAAGAGTTTATGAATATTCTTAATTCATATCACGGCCCAAAGAAAAAAACAGAACAATTATGAAACAGAACGATTTGTCTAAGAATTTACTTGTGAATTTCATCATCAACAATTCACAAAAATCACTTACGGAATACGAAAAATATCGAATAAGAGTAATATAAATTGAATTGAGAACATCTAAATCTTTTTTGACTCTATAAATACTACTCTTTAACAACTATTAATATTTAAAATCTCAAATTTAATTTATTGGAAAAATTTCTCTTTGATAAATTTTTTTTACGAATGATCTATGTTTAACATTAAATTATCTTTCTTCGAACTATTAAGAGATAACGGTCCACCATTTTTTCTCTTTTGGGAAGCAATACATAAGAATTCGATTTATTATCATTTAATAATACTTAGGTAAATAATATTATCACTCGTACTTAGCTATGGTTGTCTTTTTTAAAACACACACCGAAATTGTCAAAAATAAGGCCAATAGTGTTATCTTGATATGTTGACTTACATTCTCAAAATAAGAGGAGGAAAAAACAGAGAAGTGTGCGTATAATCTTAATGCTCCTTTACGTAACAGTATTGTCGGCTTTCATAATATTTACTAAGATCAGCGTTAGAAACCAAGAAGTATAACTTATTCTACCATAAAGACAACTTCCGTTGATTTCTTTGTCGCTAAAATAACTAAAATAGAAGTTGCTCTTCTAAGTTTTTTAAACACAAAAATATATAAATATTATGCATATTAGAAGTAAGAATCTATAATAATAAATTCATTATACATTATTTTGAAGTTTTGCTTTTGTACTAAAAGGAAGGTTTTTAAGATTTTCTGATAGATAACATAGGAGAGCAAATTTTTTTGTTGCTTTTATACAAATACTTGATTTCGCCTAATTCAGATGTGGGGATTTCAAATCCGAAATTAGTTTGCTCTTAAAGGTACAGATATTTATTTAAAAGGACATTTTTTGTCTGTTTTTTGTCAAAACGTATAAATTTAAAAACGCTACATACAAAAAGGTGGTTGCGTAAATATTGAGACAGATTTTTTGGGAGCACATCTTCAAGACTAAAACTGCATAGGAACCATATATGGCAACGTTACTTTTAAAAAGTAACGAGTAAAAGTACAAGTATTTTTAAAAAAAGTAACGAGTAAAAAGTAAAAAGTTCTTATTTTAAAAAGTAACGAGTAAAAAGTACAAGTAAAAGTACAAGTACTAAACAAAAAAAGTAACGATTTAAAAGTACATTTCTAGGAAATCGAAAATTCAAAGTAACCTAAAATTTTATTGAATAATATTCTTATGTTCTTTAATGTTTTTGCAAAATTGTTGTTATTTATTTAATTATTTTTAATTTTGAAAGTTATGGACATTAATTTATTTTTAAATTCGGAAGAATATTATAATATAATTTTATAATATAATCGTATAATATAATTTTAAAATCAAATATAATTTTAATATCAAACTTTTTATGGATTTGCACGAAAAAGAAATTTTATCTATTGATTTTAATTTTTAGTTTATTATTTTTATTTATTTAAATTACCATTGATTTAAAATTGTTTTACTCTTTAGAAACGCGTTTTAAAAGCACAAACATAAACAAAGCAAACACGGGGTTTCAGATAGCTTTGTGATCTTTGAGCTAGTAAAAAATAATTGAATGTGCAGTATAAGTTGAAACAGAAGGTATTTAAACACGAAGTTAGCTGTGAATGCATATATATTGCACATTAATTTTATAAATTAAAAAAACATAAGCATTTTTTTTTAAATTTAATTTCTTTTTTTTTTAGAAAGCTTACCGAGTTTTAGAAAAAAGTAACGATTTCATTCGATATTTCCGTTACAAATACTTGTACTTTTTCCCTAAAAAAGTAACGAAAGTACAAGTAAAAGTACTAAATTTAAAAAGTAACGAAGTACAAGTAAAAGTACGTACTTTTTACTTGTACCGGCGGTACAAGTAACGAAAGTAAAAGTACTGCCATGTATGATAGGAACCCATATCCGGAAATGTCATTGTTCATTGCCGGAAGTCATTGTTCATTGACGGAAATGTTGTCAGTTGGCTAGGGGCGCTTCCCTATTATGTCCTATTCAGAAGCACACGAAGAAACAGTTCATAGCAGGGAAGAGCTTCTTGAGTTCTATGACGACATTTTCGTGCATGCGTTCCTATGTAATTTTAATCTTTGTGTGCCCTTACTCCCTTAGTTTATTTCAACATTTATGCTCAACATTTATTTGAAAACGTTACATGTAACGTTTTCAAATTTCTACATTTCGACACAAAAATAAACTAAAAATGTCATTAAAAAATTGTAGCTTGGAAGGAGAAATGGAATTCAGATTTGAAATCAGCGATGCGTAAGTATCTAAGATCTGTTGAAAAAACTTCGTGCCACAGAATTTTTTTTTTCCCCCTACTACAATTTAAAAATATATATATTACGTAAGATAATTTTGGAAAAGTCAAAACGAACTGAAGAATCCAAGAAATTTGCCTTCTGCTTTTAAATACGATAAGAATATGCAGCATTGGTTTAATTACATTATTCAACCAGACAAGGAGTTATTATTAAAAAAAAATCGATTCATGAACTTCTTTTGCCTACATACCTGAAGACTTCTTTACCCCAGCCAGCTAGGGCAGTGAATATTCGAGGGGCCAAATCTCTGGCAGGATTGAGAGGAGCTCCACAGTTTAATGGAAAAGCAAAAATCGTGGCGGATAAGGCGAGACCAATTACTAATGGATATTGTCCTTTCATGATGCTCATATTATGAGGATCCGTGATGGCAACAATAGCCATGATGAACACCATACTTGAAACAATCTGAAAGATAAAATCGAAAATTCATTTTCATTTAATAGGAGTCAATCGCCCTATTCCATGCAAAAATGTAGAGTTTTTCTAAGAAACTATTAAATCGATTAAAAAAAACTATATATATATATTTTTTTTTTCTTGTTAACTTTTTTTGAAACATTTTCAGATGACTATTGTCATTTAAAGCCAACTTTTAGGGCACATTTTGATGTATTTTTTTTTGGGACAGTATTGAATCAATTTTTAAAAAGTTTTTTGTTCCTTCTGTAGAGATGCATATTTTAAATTTTTTTTTAAAATCTATATTCGTTGATATTTATATTCATGGATTTTGTCAATTTTTTTTAAAATTTAATTTTGTAATTTAGTCTTTCAAATTATCATTTCTAAATTTATCGTGATTACGTATACGTCCCTTGGAATCAGATATAAAACGAGACTTATTGACTCCAGCGGCCCAAGATCACACGTATGATATCAATACGGTAGTCTCGTATTATATCTCGCATTAATACATATACGTGCTCTTTAGTATGTATAAACTTAGCGCATGGGTACCGCCCTTATTCAAACACTAATCATTTCAGAGCATGTTTGACGTTGGCGTTAATTTTGGCGTAGAACAACTCAAGTGCTAACTTCTGTGTATGCGCAAAGTCTTCATTTATATCAGAATCGAATTGACACTAACTTTTTAATATATTCTCCATCACAAAATAAGGTCTTGTCAGTCCATCTGGTTAATAGAGTCCATTAGGAATTTATATATAAGTAAACTGATCTAAGTAATAAGTGATCTAAGTAGATCTAAGAACTAAACTATCTAAGTAGTTTTATAAAACGTATAAGCGAAAAGAGACAATGGGAGGAAAAAAGTCCTGGTTAGGACTGGAGATGCTTAGATACTCGCAAAATTTTTATAATTTTTGTTGTGTTATTTTAAAGCAAGAAATTAAGAAAAAAAAAACTGAATTTGGGAGTGAGTTGCAAATAGAAAATTTTAAAAATGCGAAATCATGTGAAAGCTACAACGCTTCTCATGTTTTTACTCGTTTCATGCATCATATTATTATTTATTTTGTTGAAAACATTTTTAATGCAAAAACTTTGCCTAATGCACAAAAAAAAAAAAAACTTTCTCAATATATCTTATTATCTCAATATTATGGAACCATGAATTTCCAGCATATGTATCCAATTTAAGAATAACACGCTTCAATTGCTCAAATAGTTAGTTTTTTTTTTAAAATTTTATTTTGTCAGAATATTGTTATTTTTATCTTATTTGTCCTGTAGAAGTCGTAATTTGTCTTTTTATTGAAAAGGAAAAAGCTGATCTTGAAAACTTATTTTCAAAAAAATAAATTACAATTAAAAAGAAAGTAGAAAATGAACTTACCTGGTCACCTAATGCAGTATAGACTGAAACATGATCAGCTGCATATGTAGCAAAGATTTGAGCCGTGGCAGTCTTATTGGGTGGTACTTCTCTATGTCCTCCATCGAAGTTGGAAAAGGATTCTAAAATATGTAAACAAACACATGTTTTTCGAAATAAATGCTTTCTTTTTCTTTCTGACAATGTAGCATTTCTTAAACGTATCGCTTTTTGAAATCAAACTTAAGATGTATTTTTTTAAATGTATAATGAGAGTCTTAAACGGCGGCTTGGGAAATTAAATTTCCTAAGGCCAGTGTGCTATGCAAGATGTCGCATTGGTCACAATGATACCAAATTCTGACGTCATTCACTTTATATCATTTGTTTATGATTCATTAAATAAAAGAATGCATGCACTGCAAACATTCTCTAAGTTTGTCTTTCAAAGCCAGGAGAATTAAATTGTTATTGTTGTTAATTTACGTCGCACTAGAGCTGCACAATGGGCTATTGGCGACGGTCTGGGAAACATCCCGGAGGATGATCCGAAGACATGCCATCACAATTTTGATCCTCTGCGGAGGGGATGGCACCCCCGCTTCGGTAGCCCGACGACCTGCGCGCGAAGTCGAGCACTTTACGGTAGCACAGTTTAACGAGGACCAATACCGCACACCCTCGGTCCCTACGCAGACTGATCCAAGTGGTCACCCACCCGCACACTGACCGTAGCCAGTGATGCTTGACTTCGGTGATCTGCTGGGAACCGTGTCTTAACGATCAGTCCACTGCGGGACCCAGGAGAATTAAAAATGATAATTGAGTTCATCAGGTGTGCACAGCGTGCCTACTAATGTCCATATTTAGTCTTTCGACTTTCAAAGGGCTGCAGATATGCTTATAAAACTGGTGTAAAAGTACAGTAAAGTAGTAAGGCTCAACAAGACAATACATCTTGCAGCGCTACTTGGTGGAAAATTGGAAAGTTAGTGTACGATTTCGAATGCGGTACGAGATAGGGGAAAAAGTGAGTTACAAAGCCGCAGAGCATCACCGATTCAGTATAAATAGATACCTTTGAGACAATAAATGTTATAAAAAACTCATAAAACGTGTATTTCTTTCTTCGTGCGCTCATAACTGTGACGTGACGAAATGATAATCGAGGTGAAAAACCTAAATCAAAAACTCTCTACTTATCAAAAGATACCTTTATTATTAGCTTACAAGTGAAGTGTGAACATCAAAACTAAAAGTAAACTCTGACAGCTAGTTTTATTTTTCCTTAATAAGATTACTTCGTCCCGTCACAATTTAGAACATCACATACAAAGCAGTGCGTGTTTATTTGAAGAGTTCATTACTTACTATTACATCCACATAGCATTAATATCTTCTCTTAGTCTATTTGCATTAAATCGATAATGTTCCACAACTTTGTGCTTCTTTTTTTTTGTTTTTAAGATAGTAACGATAAATTCTCAACTTTCCACCAAGTGGCGTTGTTTAGGATCGTATTAAATAACGCATAGCTATACCTAGAGATCAGTTTTTTAATAAAATAGCTGAAGTCATTTGGAAGGTAAAAGGGTAGAAACGGATTTTATTGGGCACACTGAATTTAAAAAATGAAGATATATATTTAAAAAAAATTAATTCGGATTTCCATAATCAGAATTTTTTCTTTTTCAATCTAAAGAGCACGTAGAAGACTCTTGAATCAGTTAATCCTGTAATCAATTAAAATAACACATTGTTAATATGAAGAAACGGCGATAAATTCAGAGCTGGTAGATATGTACGTTTCCATTTCTGGGTCATCCAAGATGGAAAAAAGTTGAATGAAAGTAGTAGAAAGTAAAGAGAAATCGACTCGGAAAATTTAAGATCTAGACTACGGGGTCTTAAGATCATGCAGTCAAGGTCGATGTTTTTCAAAGAAGAGGATAGGCTTGGTTACATTGCAGATCGCGGTCGCCTCGGGAAAGGAAAACTAAATAAAGTTCGATTGAATGACCTGCAATCGACATTATTCAATTAAATTTTTATTGTCCATTTATAAAATTTGATAAGCTGTTATCACATGCAAATTTTTTAGTAAAGGAAAATAATTGTCTTGAAATCACAATATTTTAAATTTTTTTAAAAAATATATTATTATTTTTTGGGAACATGAATATACTTATTCTACTTATTCACTACTCTTATTTCACACTGTGAGAAATTTGGGATGTGAATATGTCAAATAAGTCAAAATAAATCCAATTACAATATTCGTAAAATCCATTTTTACCATGAAATTTTATACTGTAATTTTTACAGTAATATTTATTTAATTACTGTCATTCAGCGATTTTACAAAAAATAATACTGTAAAAATTTTGGTGAATTAGAATTTTGTTCTATTAAATTTCATGGCAAAAATAGTTATTACGGTAAAAATATCATTCAGGGTGCCTTAACTTATTAGAGATGAGTTCGAGCTCGCTTTCGGTAGTCCGAGCCCGGATATTTTTAATCAGAGCCCATCTGAGCCTGAGATTCATAGAATTATTTAGAGTCAGAGTTCACCCGAGATATACGTCGGATGAAGGTCACATTTTGCAGGCTCTATAGATCAAAATTTGTTAGACCCTTAGGCAGTTCAAAATTTGTTAGGACATTGCTGTCTGAACAAGGACATTAGTCATTAAAACATTTTTATCACAATTAATTAATAAATTGTAAATTTTTAATACTTAATAACAGTAACAAACGTTCGTTTAAGACTGTTAAAAATGTTTATGAAAATTTATCATGAGTTCGAGCTTCGCCCGAGCTTGAAAACTTTTTTCAGTAAACGAGTTCGAGCCCACGGGGGCCCGGGCTTTTGAACTTGGGCAGAGCCCATTTCATCTCTAGTACTTATGAACTTACAATTTCTATACTTTAACGATAGGGGATGCTGTTTTTTAGCAGAACAATATGGTTAATTTTGTAGCTTAGAAGAGGACTGTTATTTGTACTTTGTTTTTCCCAATAACCTTGATTTAAACAAAAATATCTAATCAACAAATTAAAACAGTTCATTAGGCAGATAATAAGATTCAATTTATAAATTGATATGAACCAGTAATTACCTACTACAAAAAGTAATAACATTGTTTAACAATTTGTTTAAGATAATCAATTAGATAAGACTATCAATGGAAGCTATATTGAAATGCATGTTTGCATTGTTTGTTAAACAAAAGAAAGACGAATGATGATTAGGATCAAATAATCTCTTTTTATGTAATATTTAAGATATTTCTTTTTCAATCAGTTTTGTGTTGCATTGTAATAGTTTAACATACCAATTGCAGGGTAAAATAAATCACAGTTTCCAATTGTAGGGCAATTGAAGGGCACCAATTGTAGGGCAAAATAAATCACAGTTTCAAAATGCACAGGACATTTTTTTTTTTAGGAGCGTTAAAAAAAAAAAAAAAAAAAAAAAANAAAAAAAAAAAAAAAAAAAAAAAAAAAAAAAACATGATTTCCAAGAAAGTAAAAAGATGTTTCGATTTAGTGGAAATTTTTATTATTTCTACAGTACTTATCTGATAAAAATATGGAACAATTTTAGATAAAATTGACATTTATGGAAAAAGTGTGATCTATCACTTATACCCAAGTACATAATTATTGCTTGGGATACATTAATTAATTAATACATGTATGTTTCGGCAGGATTAACCTTCTCATTGCTTAATTTTTTTTAAATATTAAATATGTTAACATGTTATCATGTTAAATATGTTAATTAAATACGTTAAAAATTGAAAATTTTTGTTACAAAATTTAAATCTGCATATATTTTAAAGTTAACGAAAGCACCATGCAACAATACGGAGAAGCCTCTTATATGAACTGTATCTTGAATAATCAATGATGTTTTCGTTTGAAGAGATTTCCAGTACCTCTATTTTTTGATTTCGTGTCTCAAGAAGTGGATACTTAATATTGTTGGATTTTTTTGGCCACTTGTGGGAAATATGTTGAAAATACTTTGACTTAATTACAATTAGAAGGAATAATACATTTTCTTTAATTTAGTAGAGTAGTTTGTGATCAGTATTTAAATTTACATTATATATTAAAAAGCTTATATTTTTGTTACATCTTACCCAAATAAACCGTATAAAGTACTATGGAAGCAACAAATGCGCCAAAATATTGTGCGAAAAAGTAGGGCATGATTTTTTTCCATTTAAATTTTCCAATACTGGCCATCGCTAGTGTAACAGCTGGGTTTGCATGACAACCTAAGGGATAAAAAAAAAAGAAACAAATTAAGAAAATTTCAGTTTTTATTCAAATCTATCATTAAAATTATTACATCATTCAACAGTTAATGTGATAGCCTTTCTTGTTTCAACCGTTGCCAGTAATCGTAACGAAAACCAGGTCGTAGCTGTTAAAAAACCAATGTAAAACCAATTAAATTAAGTTGGTTAAATCAATATTTTGATACTTTCTGATTTATGTAAATTTTAATGGAATCCAAGGCGTGGCAAAAAAGTAAAAAGTTTGAAAGTGTAGCACTTTGTCTGGTGACGATAAGAGACAAGCAAGTATGTAATACATCGCTAATATTGATAGTGTTCGTTAAAGTAAAACTGAATTATAGTTAAATACAATTCGGAAATAAATTTTTTCAAGTGTGCTTTGACGCTAAATTTCATCAGTTTGAATAGCCTGGTTGGTAGAACGTTAGACTCGTGTTTGTGAGAACGGGAGTTGGAATCTAGCCGGCCGAAGAATCCCTGTGTAGTAAATAATGACTGGTGCTAGTTAAATCAGTAGGCGCCACAAAGTCCTCCAAGTTTCTATAACGAATCAATAACTGTGGTGTACTGAATTAGAGATTGATCGCTCTCTGGTTCAGATCAAACTTACGACCTGTGGATGACTGAATGGAGTATATGATTGGGTCTTCCCAATAAAACGGGCTGTGACGTGTGTGTGTGACTGAATGTATTCTTGGCCATAGATCACGTCACTTAAAAAGCAAGAAACACACCATCTGCCGAAAGAATTCGCTTGATTTCAGGCAAGCTTGCTGGCTTTAGTAAGTGGCATAAGTACATCTTCTTTCTTGCTTTGTACTTGTAAAAGGGGGTTTACATCTGAATCTGCTACCATTTTTTTTTGTTACCTTATGATTTCTTGGATCTGGTATGGCCTAATGGCTAATCATCTAGGATAAGAAACAACAGCATTACAGTAAGCTTCACCTATAACTATGGGCTAAATATTAACTACCCGAAATAAATCAGGATAAATGAGGAATGAACGATGCATATTTTAGTTAGCTTAAAAGTTCAGGCTCAGTCTAAAAGGTATCAAGTGGATTAGAAAAAAAATGATGACTTTTCTAAATAGTTAGGCAAAATGTGAAATGCAGTTGAGGGCTTGCAGAATCGGTTTTCCAGTATATAAACAAACACAAAGCCTCAAAAAATATTATTGAAATGACTCATACTTTATGATGCTGATTCTCGGATTTCATGTAGAGTAGTGTAAATAGTTTACTCACCTGAAACACCTCCTGTAACTGCAATTGCCACCATGAGAGATACACCCCATCCCAGAGGGCCAGCAACAGAACTACTGGACTTGTTGAAAACTAAAACTGCGTTCACAGCATTACCAAAGAGCTGTAAAAAGAAAAGAGACTGTTTTAATCAAAGAATTGTGAACAGAGAAGCGGAATACTGGAAAATACAGAGACCTAAATTCCTTATTAAATAAAAAAAGTTGCCAGAATTTAATTTAAGTGGAGATGGATGTGTTTAAGAATAGTTGAATGTAGCACCGATTGAGAAGCCGATGGTCACGCTAATTTTGAAATTTCAAGCATAAAGGTTATAGCACTCTTAGAAGAAAGCGGAATGGATTCATATTTTTGAATTAATCCATTAATGTATAAGTTAAAATTTTTCAATAATACAGTTAATTTCATACAATTCAGTCAAAGGTTGTGATATCAACTTAACATGTGACATTTCCATCCATTAAAAAGTTTTCATTGTGTAGCGAAGTGAGAAAAGGGGGGATTTAACCCCTTCCTTCTCGCTCCCGTGAAAATGACGGGGTGAGGTTTCGCCCTCTATTTCTCGCTCCCGTGATATTTCCGGACCGGAGTGCTCAGTAGTAATGCTCCAATAAGAATAAAACTAATTAATTTCTTTTGCCCGGAAAAAATTTAATTTCTCATTTTACACACCAGATGGCAGTACCAGGATATATTTTAAGGTAATTGTAGATAGTTTATTTTAAACTAGATGTCAGCACTAATCAAATACGTGTATAAAAAAATAGGCATTTTTATGACCGTTTTCTGGAAAATTAACCGATCGTTCAGGGGTTAAAAACTATAATAAAACTTCTGTTTGAAACGCTCTTTCTGAGAGTCTTCTTTGTCAAAAATCGGTGGTTTTCGAAAAGCAATAATAACATCAAGTAAACCACCGACTTCTCACCGTCTTTGCTTAAGAATTGTATAAGAAATTCATGCAACACATTTTAAGATAAAATTTATGTTAAAAAAAACAAAATATCTGGAAAATTAACCGAGACTATATCAAATCAATTCTTATAAGCTATACCCAATATTTTATTTCTTACATTTTCGTGCAAACCCATGGAAAAGTTTTTTTTAAAAAGTATTTTATTTATAATACTAATAATAAGACATGTTTGGAAACAATATAACTCCTTATGCTTCAGTTATAGTAAAAAAATGTATAATATTAACTTATATCATTTTCAAAACTTTTTATTTTAATTTCCTTTTCAATATGATAATACAAAATAATAATAAATGTAACAATGTAAATGTCACGTCATGATCTTGAATATAGTAAAAATAATATTTCAAACAAAATTTGAAGGTAGGAGAAGGTTAAAATAGGTTATTGATTATCGTTGAAAGACGGAAATGTGGCACCTTTTTCGGAAGTTGTATTTTGCCTCGGCATTTCAAGGCACACCTTCTTTTTTGAAGGATTGAAAGCGAAAGTTTCGTGACTCGGGCGTGACTCTATTACAAAACGTGTCAGCAGTCTAATTATATATTTAGATGATTGTCTAAAATAAAATATTTTGAGAAGGATTCGGTTTTGAAGTTTTAAGATTTTACATGAAATACCATGCAATATTTATCGATGACACGCAAACAGCACAAATTGTAGCTTAAAGGTCCCCTTCAATTAGAATAGAAATTCTATGTTGCGGAGAATTATATGTCCGGAATTTCCTTATTTATTAAGTTACTAATTCATTTTTTTGAATTATTTTTGTTTCATTTTGTTCATTGAAATGCATTCTATCGAACTTAGTTATCGAATTTTAAATATTAAGTTTGAAAGTATTTTATACGAACTTTTTCAAATTTCAAAGGCTTTAAAAATTTAAGACTTAAAAATACTTTCTTAACTAAACATTTAAAATTCGCTAACTAAGTTCAGTAGAATGCATTTCAATGAATAAAATGGTACAATAATTATTCAACAAAATTAATTAGTTACTTAAATAAGGAAATTTCTGAAATATTATTCTCCGTAGGACCTGGACTACCTGGAGGGAGTAAAATCTCTCTTCTGTGTGAAAAAGGTAATTTAAGAGGCTCAGGAGTCTTCAAGCGGACAAAAAACCCAAAAAATCTCAAATTATTTTACTTTATAACCGTCGTTGGACAGTCGACCCAATTGTTGGATTTATGACTACCAATGTTCAACTCAGTCGCCTTGTAATTTTGAACCCAATCCAGAAGACAAAGGAACTCCTGGATCAAGTATTGGGAGAAATTTGCCTTCGTGGAGGACTTTTTGATGGAACTAAACCGCATTTGCGTTACATGGAGAAGAAAATCACTAAAACCTCACATGGTTAGCCTGATATCTAGGGGACTCTAACCTATAACCCGTATAAAACTGAGGATATTTTACGCCAGCACTGTGCTCGGTGCAAGCCGGATGCGGAATTCGCATCGACCAGCCATCGCCGGGAATCGAACCCGGTTCACCTCATTGGAAGGCGAATGCTCTATACCCTCAGCCATCACGGCTCTAAACTCGAATGATTTAAAATTACGTAATTTAACTTCTCAGTTAGCCAATACAGTTCCAAATTTTGAACTGATTAAAAATATATTTTTCAATTAACTTTTGTCGTCTTGGAAAATATCAAACAATAAAAATGCGAATGAGAGGAGAATTTTTGAATTATGTAACTTTTGACCACATGATTTTTCAAAAACTATTTTACTACTTTTATTTAACTACTTTTTTTATATGAAATAAATTTATTTTAGTTAGCAACAAAAGAATTGAAATGAATATTCCTATTTTAAACAAATGTAGTTTATCTTAAAATTGATGTCAAGATGATAAACAAATACTAGATAAGTCAATTTGCATAGAGTTGTCACAGAATGGAACGTTTTGCATATGATAGATACTTAGATACAAAGAAAATTTATAAGAAACAAATAACAATATGATACAATATTGTAGCTTTTATATGATTTACTAACGGTGCATGTTAATTATTGAATTACTTTCAGTATTAATATTCTCAAATAAGAATTCTTGAAAGATAATCTCAAAATTTTTTTTAGCTACATATGAAATGTTACAAACTTTTATACATCAGTTCTAAATTATTTTTTGCTTCAAAAGATGATGCAACTTTGCTTTTAAATTAATGCAACTAAGATATTTATGTTATGAAATATAACAATAAATGATAAATATGTGTTAATTTTAGTTGAGGATAAAAATCAAAGACTTGTTAAAGTTTAACGAATTGCGAATGTGTAAAATTATTTAAGTATCATTATTTCGCACTTAAGTCAGTAAATGTTGACATATAGCGTTGATAGTAAATATCGAATAAGAATATTTTTTTTTATCACAGTTTATCACTTTCAATGCTACCATGATTGCATACTGAACATCTGTGCTCTGTAAAAAAGTCTGGATCTAATTGCTGAAAAAAGTACCGGCACTCATGGTGGAATTACTTTTTTTTTTACCGCAAAATCCATCTTTCCGTAAAATTTCACGGAACAAAAAATTTGATAAATTGTAATTTTTGCAGTAAATATTACTATAAAATCACTATATCATTATAATTATATACACCGAAGAGTCATTACATTACGACCACCCTCCATCTATAACAATGGACTCGCTCAGGTTTTCATGGCTTCTCGCCCAGGAACAATGTTTTATTGGGGCCCATAATCCCATAATCCTCATAGAACAATCCCTGACTTCTGTAAGCTACTTGAACATAGTTGCAGACCAGGTTCACCCATTCATGGCAACAGTTTTTCCTGTGGGGGATGGTGTTTACCAACAGGATACTGCACCATGTCATAAGGGTCGAATCGTCATGGATTAGTTCGAGGAACATTCCAGTGACTTTCAACTCATGTCTTGACCCCCAAATTCACCTGACCTTAATCCAATAAAGCATTTGTGGTCCTACTTGGAAAACCAAATTCGTGCTGCCACGATACCCCCTCGGAATGTGAGGGAATTGCAGGACCAGATGGTGAGCGCCTGGTACCAGATACCTCAGACTACCTATCAGAACCTTGTGGAATCAATGCCACGGCGGGCTCTAGCAGTTTTGAGGGCTAAAGGTGGTCCTACATGTTATTAGCAAGATGGTCATAATGTAATGGCTCTTCGGTGTAAATGTTACTGTAAAAATTACATTATAAGGTTTTACGGTAACAGTGAATTTTAAGAATGCACTCAGCGTACCAATACTTCTTACATTGATCTGATTTTTTTTACACTGATTTACTTTTTTATTTAATCTGGAATTTTTTTCAGTGCTTGGGAATTGATGATATTTAACAAATATTTTATACATTCCTCCAAGTGTTGACATGAATGTGAATTTATAATACAGATGAAATACAGCATTTTGACGGGATTTAAGGTTTTTACACAATAACATATACGTGTAGTGCATTTTTCCTTTCCCCGGTATTAAGCTAAATTTCTTATAAAATATTTACGTACTGTTTTGAACTCAGGAATATTTGCACGACCCCTTTAAAGCAGCTTAAAATTCCGTCTTTACTTTCATTTTTAAAAAAAAAATTATTCATGACCCTATCATTTAAGGTCTGCTAGCAGAAGATTTTACATACTTAAGAACATAAACACCCTCTTGACATTAGATGTTTGTACGTCGATTTGAGCACAGCAGTCAAATTGACCCAGCAACGCAAAATTTGTCACACCTTTGCCGAACACGTTTTTCTCTATTGTTGAAGAGAAAATGATGTTGTGGATTCTTTGGGTTGTATTTCGTCTGGTATTTGTTAAAGAAACAGCAATATTGTGAAACCTTGAGGCTTAGGAAACGAGCAATATTTCAGGTTACATTTGTTCGTGGGGCGTGAGGTGAAAGTGCGAGAAAAATTTTTGCAAATACTAAAGGGATGAGTTTTTATTTTTTCTCATTTGTTTGGATATTACGAAAGAAATACATGATAGGTTAGTTTCATATACTTGAAGTAATAGAAGAAGGATGAATAGCAAATATTTATGTGAAGGTTTATTTTAAGATGGAAGCTAGCAAAAGTTAGTAATTGAAGTTTTGAGGGCATTGGGCGAAGAGGACATGCAAAAAG